ATATATATATATATATAGGGTGCCTATTAATTAAGGTTGGAGCCGCATTGGGGGTGTAGAATAGTTCAAGGGAAACAAAAAAAGTCTTATACCATTTTGTAATTTTTGCAATAGTTAACAAGATATTAATTATTAAAAATGACCGAATATTAGTCTTCTATAATTTTTTTTTTCAAATACTATCAATTTTATAAAAAAACTATAAGAGATAAAAATGGTTTATTTCCTTCTCATAGAACTCTAACAATTTTTTATCAACTTTTTAGTACTGCATTTTCTTATTTTTATTATCATGAGAAAATATGATATTAAAAAATTCTGAAAAAATTCTCGGAACTTTATAAGAAGAAAATAAACAATTTTGGTCTCTTACAGTTTTTCTGTAAAGTTGATAGTATTTGAGAAAAAAATTATTAAAGACCAATATTTGGTCATTTTCAGTAATTAATATCTTGTTAACTATTGTGAAAATTGGAAAATAGTATAAAACTTTTTTGTTCCCCTTGACCCATTCTACGTCCCCAACGCGGCTCTGATCTTACCTAATAGACACCCTGTATATTTTTTTTCTCGTGTGCATTGAAATGAATTGGTAGCTTAATTCGTGCTTGTAATATCGTAATTTGTATTTGTCAAAATAGATTTATGAAATATGTCGAGAACTTTCTACCTCTCTCTCTCTCTCTCTCTCTTTCTCTCTCTCTCTCCCTCCCTCTTTCTATGGTAAATTAATAAACAGCTGTAAGCCCCTTGATCGATTCGTGAAATAAATATTACAGATAACATTCATTTTACTGGACATCTGGGACACTCGCGCGCGTAGATCGAATTGTTATCGAAGGGCAATCAGGAAACGGGAATATTTCGGATTTTGGCGCATGATTTCGCGTTCTCGTACGAGAAATCTAATTTATTTCGATGTGCAGGAAGAAACTTGTGTGATTTCTGTCTTCGCGAATATATATTGAGATCGCCGGGAGGGGAGGGAGGTGTCGAGAAAAACGACGTCTTTATTTACGTGAGTAAAAGGAGATAGTTGGCGCTTATGTTAATGAGGTCGATGCGAAGGCAAGTTTTTACGATTGCAACGTAAGGGGAGAAAGAGCCTCTGCAGCACGATTCAGGCTCGATCCCGATTCCCGCGCAGCGCAACGTAGCGGTGGTGACCCACTGACCTGGAACCCTGGCATCTCGCGCTATCGGTTGATCCAATTTTCCCACGTGTCGTTGACTCGTTCCTGCGTCAGGACGCGCCGTAGGGATGCGTTCATCCCTGGTAGTCATCGATTTCCAGGAATGGGAGCTGCGCCCCGGTGAGCCGCGCGCCGAATCGCGCGTTCTCGATTCTCCTGACTCTCTAACATCTCACGTACGTCCCTCTCCCCCTCCCCTCCCCCCTCTCTCTCACTCTTTCTCTCCCTTTTTCTTGTTTCTCTCTTTTGGCTCCGCGTCACTTGTCGTGACTTCCCCCGAGCGTGTGTACCACGTTCGTCGCGTCAAGGACTGTGAGGTCGCGGAAACTACGCGGGATCCTCCCGCTGGACCAGCAGCAGCAGCAGCACCAGCAGCACCAGCAGGACCAGCAGCACCAGCAGCACCAGCAGCACCAGCAGCACCAGCAGCACCAGCAGCACCAGCAGCACCAGCAGCACCAGCAGCACCAGCAGCACCAGCAGCACCAGCAGCACCAGCAGCACCAGCAGCACCAGCAGCACCAGCAGCACCAGCAGCACCAGCAGCACCAGCAGCACCAGCAGCACCAGCAGCACCAGCAGCACCAGCAGCACCAGCAGCACCAGCAGCACCAGCAGCACCAGCAGCACCAGCAGCACCAGCAGGACCAGCAGCACCAGCAGCACCAGCAGCACCAGCAGCACCAGCAGCACCAGCAGCACCAGCAGCACCAGCAGCACCAGCAGCACCAGCAGCACCAGCAGCACCAGCAGCACCAGCAGCACCAGCAGCACCAGCAGCACCAGCAGCACCAGCAGCACCAGCAGCACCAGCAGCACCAGCAGCACCAGCAGCACCAGCAGCACCAGCAGCACCAGCAGCACCAGCAGCACCAGCAGCACCAGCAGCACCAGCAGTACCAGCAGTACCAGCAGCACCAGCAGCACCAGCAGCACCAGCAGCAGCAGTAGCTCGCAGTCGATATCGCTGCTGCGTCGAGGAAACGCGAAACGAGAACGCGCGCGACGGACAGGGGGAGGATAAACCGAACCTCTCATAGTTGGAGAGTAATGAGAACCGTGCTCTGGATATTCGATATCCAGATCCTTTGATCAAGCCTCTCCCGCGGTTCTGCGTTACTGATCTTCGCTCAACTCGCGAACAACCGAACCCGAAGCAGAGTCATAAGTGGCTGTCGATGACTCGAATATTTATCAGACGCGAAATGAAGACGTTTACTCGTTCTATTCGTTTCATCGTGAGAGCAAGTTTGCAGTGATATAAGACAGGGAGAAAGGATATTACACAAGTGTCGGAGCGTGGTAAGATAAATACGAAGGAGAGAATAAGCATGGAAGATAATAATAGTAATGAAAAGGGTAGAATATTGCGGATATATAATAGAAGAACGCAATGGTAGAAATG